CAGATGGGTCTTTAAGTGGGATTAAGAGGAAGATGCTCTGCTACATCCAGCCCTTTCCTCCAGGGCTGGAAACTCGCCCTCCTTACAGCCAAGTCTCCTCCATGGGGAACCAGCCTTTGGCTTTTTCCCTCTTTGTTCTTCCACACTGCTTCCTCCCTCGTGTTTACCTTCCGGACCTGCCATCTCCCTGTGGCTCACAACTCCTCCTCCTTTGGAAAGTCTTTGAGACGCACATTATACAAGATACACAAAAATAAATTGGTTTTAATCCTCCAGATTCCAGCGCTCCCAAACAAGGATCTTAAGGAGCTTTACAAACAATGGATTAAGCCTTAAGACTCCCAGTGAGGTAAGGAAGAGCCTCTGGCCAAGGCAGAGAGAGGTGAGCGAGGCTGAAGGCTGTACAGCTGACCTGTTTCCACACACACCAGTGTCACTCTATCCCTGATCCATCATCAGCCCAGAGACACCTTTGCCATTTCGGTCCAGGCTCTGAAGCAGCTCCAAAATGTCCATCCTTCCAGTGCCAAATTCTCTTTCCTACCTTTAGGCATCAGCAGTACCCAAAACGCTCAGCCCAATGGGTGGCAGCACCCCGGCACCTGAGGTTCTCCCGGAGCACTATGAAGGGTCCAGTTCCTGACAACCAGCCTTCATTGCAGGGTGCAGGAAGCTTCCAGTGGGCATTTCAAGCATCCACTTCACTGGATGCAACCCCATGGTTGCATCCCAAGGTGCTGTCTTGCTTTGCTCCTCAATGTGACAATGAGCCGACAGGCACTGACCTCTGCTCTGGTGACCACTGACAGGACCTGAGGGAATGGCTGGAGCTGTGCCAAGGGGGTTTAAGTTGGACATCAGGAAAAGGTTCTTCCCCCAGAGGGTGGTGGGGCACTGAACGGGCTCCCCAGGGCAGTGGGCACAGCACCAAGGCTGGCAGAGCTCAAGGAGTGTTCAGACAATGCTCTCAGGGACAGGGTGGGATTTTTGGGGTGTCCTGTGCAGGGCTAGGAGTTGTCATGATCCCTGTGAGTCCCTTCCAACTCCAGATACTCAATGACTCCATGACTTTGGGTCACAAGCTCAGCAGCCTCAGACCTACATGAGCACGACATCACCCATTCCTAGTGCACTCGTTCTGCAAAGCCCTCAGATTTCTTCCCAACTGTATTTTGCATACATGTTGTAAACAAGCTTTACATCCTTTTGATCAGCTCTGCTCGGGGAGGGGGAGGAGACTTCCTGTCCCACTCTGCCACCGCTTGCTGTGCTCGGCTCCCGCCGCCCCGTGAGCGATGATGACATTTTCTATTTTGGTGGCTTTTTCTTCATATATTTGCAACGAGCGGCTGTGCTCCGGCCCAGCACCACATGGATCTTGGGGTGGTTTTTAATTCAGCTTAAAGTGGCAGAGCCAGTTGTTGCAGCATCTCCTCTCCATGCCCAGCAATGTTCCCTGTTCCCCAGCCAGACGCGTGCACACTCCTGGCTCCTCACTTTCCCTGCCAGCCGTCCCAAGCAGACATTTTTGCGAAAGAACTTGTTTACAGACAAACCAGGCTCCTGTTCGTGGCAAAGCACCGGCATGTTTTCCTGCTGGTGCTTATCTGCCAGAGAGAACTCTGGTTTCTGCTTGCCCACAGGCAACCGGCCAAGCGCTCACCACCGGCACCTCCCTGCACCTCGTGGCCACTTCACGTGCCCAAACCTTCGCCCTCCTCCAGAGGCACAACCATACCCCGATAAGGGAATGCTCCCTCCTGGCTCCGGCGATACGACGAAGCTGCAGAAGGTTGGGATCTCCCTCCCTTTGGAAAGAGCAAATGCCCACAGGCTCCAGCGGCCATTGGAAGCCTGAGGACTGTGGGAACGGTTCAAGGGAAGGGCTCATGCTCTCTTGTGACTCCAGCTCAGTGCTTCCACGTCCTCCCCGTGCCAGCTCAGAGAGGAGCTTATGAAATCCGCAGGCTGTGGGCAGCCTCTGCAGCGCAGGAATGTTCTGGAGTCAGTTACTAACACGGTGCTTTGCATATTGTGTTTCAAACACTACGTGTTTCTACATGCTCTGTGTCAACAAGGGGAAAGGACTGTCAGCCCCAAATGAAGTCCTAATCAGAGTTATTAGTGATCCAGCAGCTCCCAGGTGCACGGTGAGGACCCCGCGGAGATATTCCTGTGTTCAGCTCAACCCTTCCCTCCTGAGAACCATCCCAGCTCCTTCTCTAATCATTTTCCTCTGCCTGAGCCCTGTGTGCTCCTCAACTCTGCCCAGCACAGCTTCCCCAGGACCCACAGCCAGGACAGGTTCCTTGGGACAGGAACGTTGCACGTTCATCCATGAGCAAGGCATGAAGACCTGGAAGATGTAGGATACTAAACAGGGAGGAAAAATAAACCCAGTAGAGATTCTTCGGAGTGAAACCACTTCTAAACTCACAGAATCCCAGAATGGTTTGGGTTGGGAGGGACCTTAAAGCCCATCTCGTTCCACCCCCTGCTATGTGTAGGGACACCTTCCTCTAGACCAGGTTGCTCCAAGCCCTGTCCAACCTGGCCCTGGACACTTCCAGGGAAGCCACAGCTTCTCTGGGCAACCTGTGCTAGGGCCTCACCACTCTCACAGGGAAGGATTTCTTCCCAATATCTCAACTAACCCTGCTCTCTTGTCACTTTAAAGCCATTAAATTCATGGGAAAGCAGCTTTTTTCCACCACACAGAACACCCTTGGTGAAGCTGGCGATGTGCTGCTCTTACAGATGCTCTATGTGAACCTAAATTTGCTGAAATTATTACAGAAACATTCCACCATCTCCCAAAATAAGCAGCTTTGTGTATCTTTGCCTGGCTAAAGGACGAAAACAGCCCTGTAGAGTGGAGCACAGTTTCCATTTCCTTGCACACTCCTACCAGGGCTGTGCTCACAGCGAACGCTCCGACCTTTCCTCAAAGAAATCTCTGTTTGCTGCTCCTTATAAATTTGCAGAATTTTGGCTCGTTTCCATTTCACCCACTTTTGAATACAACGCTCCCCACCCCCACACAACTGTTCCTTTCTCAGGGATGACAGGCTCTCCAAAAAAATCCTGGGAGCACTTGAGCTCCTCATTCCCTCCCTGGCAGCAGACAAAGGAGCACAGGGAATTTTGGACCAACCTGTTGCTGGAAGCACTTCACCTTAGTTCAGCATTCTCCTGATCCCCAGTAACAACATTTTCCCATCACTCCCCTCACCCATGATTTTCTAACAATCATTTGTGGCACATTTAAAATCTTTTATTATTTTCCTATGAAAACCTGGAGCTCAAATCCCTTCAGAAAGGCGCCGTGGTTACCAGCAGGATCACCCCACAACCTCGCTCTGTTTTTCCATCACTGCTGATGTGGTGACAAAGAAGGAGATTTTTCAATTTGTTTTGTCCATGAGCCAGAAATTCCTTTTAATGGCCTGAATATGGTGCCTGTGCTGGTCTCTCCGTGCTCAACCCTCGCTTACAACAGCCCTTGCCTACAACGCGGAGTTGGCCTCCTTTTGCAGGAAAATAAGGCCAAACCAGCTTGAAAGCATGTTTGGAATCTGGAGATTAATTCCATGTAAACTAATGCATTCAAACCTCTTTGTAGGGCTGCAGCAAGGGCTGGCTGAGCCTGGCGAGAAGTAGGGCAGCACAGTGGCTGGTGGGGAGGGAGGCAGCCCTTCCTCCAGTGTGGAACCCTTTAGTAAAGGTCACAACCACTAGTAAAGGCGTGTCCTGCTCTGGCAAACCAGCCACAACGCCCCTTGGCCGCAGCACAGACCCTCACGCCCACTGCTCACACGGGTGACAAAGAGGTGCTGGAGGTGGCAGGAGGGCAGGTCAGGGGTCACGAGGGCTCCCACGGGAGCCTCTACCCGGGATCCAGAGCTTTTGTTCAGCAGAAAATGCCAGGAGCAACAAAGCCCGGCAGTGCCCGGAGCTGCTCTGGGGGTGCCCCCATCCCCACCACGTGCTGCCCATTCCTGCCCGTGCTCAGCCCACCCCTCCCTGCTTCCCTCCACTGCCTCTCTCTCTCTCTCTCTCTCTCTGGGAGATAAATTATTCAGGATGAAACCATTTTAAACTCCGTTGGGATGCTGAGCAAAGCTAAGATGCGTGGTGCTGCAGAGGAAGCTGCCAGGGCCGCAACCAGAATCCTGGGCTTCCTCACACAGAGGTTCCCAGTGCAGCTACAGCCCATCCCACTGAGATCCTGTGCCACGAAACACCTCCAAATCACTGAGCACCAAGGTCTTGGTGTATCCATCACACCCAGAGACATTCCATCCACGTGAGTGTGAGGCCCAGGGACCTCCCATGCCAAGTCCATCCATGGGAGGCTTCCACAGAGCCACTCCACTGGCCATGTCTGAGCACTAAATGCCCTCATTCCTAGATTTTCTTCTGGTATAAAGCAGCAGCAATAAGGACAGATGAGCAGGGTTTGGTTTGCACAGTGACTCTCACATGTCAGGACAGCCTGATGAACAACAAACACAGCGGCCTCCCAGCCATCACATGTCCTTCATGGACGCTCCTAACCATCACACATCCTTCATGAATGCTCCCGCAGACCCAGGGATGGAAGATAAAAGCAGGGATGGCACACTGCTCCTACATTCTTTCTGGGTGCCCCGGCACACCCAAGCTGCTGCCACAGCTGGGTGGGAGGAGATGGCTCCCGTCAGAAGAACGTGGTGCCGAGGCCACGGAGGCATCTCAAAGCCAATACTGCCTATGCTACCCTCTCAGGGGTCGGACTGGGCTACCCTGCCAAAGGGACTGGGCAGGAGCACAGGAGCCATCCCACTGTGGGACACATCCCTAGGGAGGTCTCCCAATCACCTGCTGGGCTTGAGGCTCATTGAGCTTCCTTCCACAAGGACTAAGGAGTATTGGAGTGCAACGAGATGAGCTTTGAGGTCACTTCCAACCCAAGCCATTCCATAATTCCATGATTCCATGACTGCACAAGCAGCAGCACTCATGCTCCTTCCACATAAGCACAGTTATGGTGCTCAACTCAGGGCCCCACGGTTCAGATGAATTCAGGTCAGAGAGGACAACATCAACAAGAAGGTAGTTCAGAGAAGAGGGGGTTTGTGTTGTTTTGTTTTTAAATGAGGAGACCAAATAATTAAATAGCCTGGAAAGGATTCTACATTAAAAGTCACTACAGCACTAAAAACCCAGCTCTGACAGCTCTGGGTGAAGCCCTTCAGGAGTTACCATGGCAGTTGATGCAGCGATTCGCCCACTCACTCCTCAATAATACTGGATTATTTTTTTTAATGCTCTTCCACCACAAACAAGCAAATGTTGCTGAAGGAAAAAGTCCTTTCTCCCACCATAAAGCTCCATCCTTTATCCCTGCCACAAGTGCTCCACTCGGGAGGAGACAGCAGGTAACAGGGAGCCAAGCCAAACACGCCACGCTGAACTTTGCTCCCTCCCTCTCCAGGGAGAGAGGAAATTTAAGAAGCAGATTCAGGATTTCAGCATCCATTTCACTCTCCCTCCCCCTCCTGAACTCCCTGGGCTCCAACCGGCGATTCAGATGCTCTGTCAGCTGAACGCTGCGCTCGCTTCCCCTCCTCGCCACCAGCTCAGCAACCTTTGCAACACGCTGCACGCAGGCAAGGGAACCAAGGATTTTTAGAATACATCCTCCCTCCTTTTAATTAAGCGCCGAGGTAGAGTGTTCACTCCACAAAGCTCATCCAGCATGGCTGAGGGAGGCAAGTCGGAGCAAGAAGGCACCCAAACAAAGGAAAGCAAACACGGGCAGCAAGGGAGGAGCAGGATACAACGGCATTGACCTGCACAATGATTATTTTTACAATCAAACTGAGGTCTAGAAACTCCTCTGGCCAAGGGAAGGCTGAGAACATCCACAGCCACCTCCCCACAGCATGGCACGGTCCTCATCCCGGGATCAGGCCGAGAAGGACAACCTCACAAAGCCAGCTCCGAGGCTGAGGAATGGCCTCCCCATCTGTCAGATAAACCCCACTCCTTCCCCAGGGACCTCCTGGCCCCCTTGGCCCTGGGGGCACCCCAGGACCCGAGGCTGCCGTAGGTCAGCCCCCACAGAGGCGCAGCTCCAAACGGAGTGAGGCAGATGGGAGAGAAGGAATAAGCAGCTTCCAGCACTAAGCTGGGGAAGGCAGGACTGAGCCTGTGTGCCCACATTCCGGGGGTGCGGGGTGCTGGGGACACGAGTGCCGGAGCGCAGCCAGAATGGGACCACACCGGTGGCCAGTCTCCTTGCCTCAGCAACACGTACTGCTGGCTCCACAAAAATAATATTCCTCATTCTTTAGCCAGTAGAAATTATTTGTTACAATAAATACTTGTCCTGAAAGCCCAGAGGCTTTACTAACAAAGCTGGGTTTGCTTGCAGGCTGCCAGGTTTGGGAACTGGTTTAATCAGCTGGGGAAGCTCAGGGAGCACGTTCTGGCTGTGCGAGACATTCCCAGTGCAAAGAGTTGCTGTTGGCTGGTTCCCACAGTCCTTCCAACTCCAACTCTTGCCAATCAAGATTTCTTTACTAATAAGGGCAGTGAGGCCCTGGCACAGGTTGCCCAGAGAAGCTGTGGCTGCCCCATCCCTGGATGTATTCAATGCCAGGTTGGATAGGGCAACCTGGTCTAGTGGAAGCTCTCCCTGCCCATGGCAGGGGGTAGAATGAGATGAGCTCAAAGATTCATTGAACCCTAACTGTTCTGTGATTCTATAACCCAAACTGGGACAGATTTTACAATGATATGAACTGGGAGAAAACACTCATCCCTGTGGCCCTTGAACAGGTCCGTCCACGGAGAGGTCCGTGTATCCGACAAGGGACAGCCTCCACACCGAACTATGTTTCCAGTCCCAGCAAGCAGCAAGCCAACAACTTTCAAGATGAATTAAGGCCACGGCATCCGTGGAGTTCCGCTGGTGGAAGGCAGCTTTGTTAAACCCAAATGAAAGCTCAGCCCATTGTTCCCAGCCTCCTCTAATAGCTGTTGTCTCTCCTCCATCCCTCCCAGGCTCCGCAGCTCAGCTGTGACTCTTTGTGCCTCCCTTTCCCTGCCTTCTGCTTCTGTTTGTCCTTTTGATCTCCACTTCTCAGCTTGTGTTTTCTGCTGTGTCCCCCTCCCCCCATGCCTGATTTCCACTTTTATTAGGGTGCAAGGCAGCAGCTGAAAGAGGAACAATGCATCGGAGCTGAAAAGGCTTTGAAGCTGAATCGGGTTGTTTACCCAGAGATTCCCCAATCTCCTCCTGAAATAAAATAGTATTTTACCTCCACCACAGCTCTTGCTGTTTAGTTTCAGTTGGAAGCATTCTAAGTAGCTGATGGCATGGCAAACGTATAAAAAGAGAAGTAGAAGCACAGGGGTGTGATCGCTTAAAAAATAAATAAAAATCAGACAATTGCACCTCCCCAAAGCCCATGAGTTTTAGGTAAAATTATTCTGTAGTCCAGTTGTAAGGATTCTGTTGCTGCAAGGGTAGGTTAAAGCTTCAACCAGCTCCCAAAATCCCCTGTGAGTCAGCATATCGGTTTGGGTTTGATGCAACTGTGCCTTCCTTCAACCTCGAGCAGGAACAGCAACCAGCTGCTTTCCCATCCCAGTTCCTTTAACTCCAAGGCACCACTGCAATTAACACATCGACTTTAAATACTCAAACTCTGCACAGAATCACTTAAGTTGGGAAAGACCTCTAAGACCATCGAGTTCAACCTGTGCCCGATCCCCACCTTGTCACCCAGCCCAGAGCACTCAAGTGCCACGTCCAGTCCCACCTCCAGGGATGGGGACTCCACCACCTCCTTTCAAGCTGGACAACTCAGAGCAAGTGCCAAAGTCCCACCAGCAGGTTCTGTCCCCACCATCACATCCTGGTGTGGGCAGAGCAGGCAGGACCCCCACCCACGCCATAGGCACTATGCGCACCCTGGCTCACAGCCAGACCTCCCTCATGAGCAACAACATCTCCCAAAGCTGATCCTGGAACTGGGTAATACCAATTTATAAATTAAGAGGCAGGAGGAGGGGAGATAAAAAACAAAATACCATGAGCTATTGAGATAAGATTTTAATTCCTTGGTTTGTTACCACCCAGACTCATACCCTACCATGGCAGAATGAACATGGGGAGGGGTCGTGGGGTGCCCATAGCCATGGGCAGGGCTGAGAGCCTGGCACTGCCTGGGGTAAAGTGCCAACAAGAAGCAAAAACATTGCGGATTCCTGGGCTGGGTTAGTCATTGGCAGCCAACTCCACCACCGGCATGGCCAACACTCCCTGGGTAGGGACCATGTTAACGCAGGGGAAGGGGAAAGGCCGGGGCAACTGTAAGGTATGCACCTCAAACAGGCACAACCAACAGACTTGAGCAGAAATAAACAGAATAATTCTGGGAGAAGGGCCCATGAGCACCCCAGGAACCCAATAACCACGAACAGGCTGCCAAGAGCCGGGAGCTGCCCCCACGCTCCCACTGCCGGCACCGACTGCTGCAGGCTCAACATTGAGCTAAAATAAATTAAACCTCAGCAAAACCTCACGCAAAGGGTACAATTATGCTTTTTCATTACAGACAGGTAAATTTTCAAGCTGACTGACCAGACAAAGAAAGCATAAAGCAGCTGAGGCTGAATTATGCCACCCCGACTACGAGCTGTGAATTCTGTTGTTCAGAATTCAGGATTTGCAGGCTATGCAGCAGGTTTGGGAGCTGCTAATCAATGACTGAAATGAAAGATGATGCCTTCCATGATGCACAGAGAAAGCAGAGACTCTCTGCACATCACACTCCTCACCATACAGGTTGATTTCCTTACCATCACTATATTCTCAATAATTTAAGGCAATACTAAACACAGCATAATTTTAAGCAAAGAGCTTTTCCTTTTATGGAATAAAAGCTTTTTTAAAAGAAAATATACCTGCAAACTCTGCAGCTGACACAGCCTCCTTCCTCTAAAGAACATGGGAAATGAGGGGGCCTAGAAGCTCCCCAGGCAGAACTGCTCAGCCTAGGCTTGGCTACTTTGGCCTCGTTTGGCTAAGGGGCAGTGATAAATTCAAGCAAAAATCACATTTTATAAAGTGCTTCAAACAAAAATATCTCTGAGTCTACCATGAAATGGCTCTGGAGATCAGATATTTGCCAAATTTTCCCAAAAATAGTCCTAAAATCCCAAAAAACACCTGTCAACATGCCACCGGTTCTCATTCCAACTCATCCTCAGGAGTTCAGGGCCGAAGGCCCAGGGACAACCCAATGTTAGCCTAATGACCAGCTTGGACTTTGCTCATGCAACTGCAGTATTTGACCTAAATTCTTTAAAAAAAGGTGAGAAAGGAGCCCTGTCCCTCCTCCAACACGCACTGGTCTGGTGACCAACATGCTGAGAGGCCTGGAAGCCCCCTGTACTGAACAGATTTCAGGTCCCCGGCCTCCCCAGCATCCAGAAATGCCAACAACACCGTACAGGACACATAGTACCCAGTTTTGTGCCTTGAAAAGCTCAAAAGGATGAAATTCAGAACCTGTGGGTGTCCAGGGCACATTCTTTACTCCTTCCTATTCCTCCTTTAGCGTGGCTGCGCCTCTGACTACTCCTGACTTACACATTCACTGGACACTCTCATTTCTCCTCTACTCAGTGAACACTTTAAACAGGTTTTTATGCTAAAAATACAGTGATGGCACTAGAACAGGCAGACTGGAGAAACAACAGGCGAATGTTCCCAAATTCAAGCACATGGACCACCCATATATGTTAAAAACATGGATTTTTCATCAGAGCTGTAACTCCACAAGGTATGTCACCAATTGCTTTGAATTCCCCAAAAAGAAAACTATGAGCCTCCCACGAGTTGTTCAAAAACAAATCTGTTGATAACTTGGAAATATTTTCTAGTTACTACAACAAAAATCCTTCTACTTTGAACAGCAGCAAGGGAAGCTTTCAGCAACAGCAGGGAGCTTCAATGCCAGGATTTCAGGTGTGCTAGTAGCCCCTTCCAAAGCTTGTAATGGCCCAAAACACAAGGATCTCTGCTCAGTTACCCAGCATGGTTCTGTTCCCCTCCTCCTGCAAACCTCCTCAGCCTGAGATCTGGGAACAGGGTGGGTTTGTGTCACCCTCAGCCTTCCAGGTTTCAACAGAGCAGCAACACTAATGTGGAGCTGGAAAAACTCACCCACCTACTAAACTGGTTCACAGCTCCTGAAACTCAACATCTTATCAGCACCAGCTCCACAGAGTGATGCAGAAAGAGCTGAGGCTGTTGAAGGAAAAGCACCAACGTAAAGCACCAAAGTGTTGGATGGTGCCGGATCAGCGACCGGCTGGGCACAGCTCCCGCCTTCCTCGCCAGCAGAATGGATGGCTTGGAGGTGCTTTGCTCAGGAGGCCTGGGAACAGCTCAAGGAGGAGATCACTACATCCTAAAGCTCCATTTGAGATGTTTCTCGTGAGAAGGATTAGGAATTACAGACTGCAAATGGAAGGAACATCTGCTGGGGAGCAGGAGCCATCCGGGCTTACCTGCGGCACAGGAAAGGAAATCCTCTGTGGACCTTCCATGGTGAGCAGAGCAAGCCCCATCAGTGAGGGAGAGCTGATCACTGACTGGCATCAAAGCAGAAAACACCCACGGCAGTTTTTTTGGGTAAATTATTCTTCCAGGCATGTGTGAGACCTCTGATCAGCTGGCAAAGGCAGTTAGTCAGGGTTTGGGGCAGGGATCAGAGGACAGGAGCAGAGCTCAGCCCACAGGGCCATACTCAGCTGAGCCTGAGCATGGAACAGTTTTGCAACACCCTTCGGAGCCCAAATAATTTAATTTTTTAGACAAGTATGTAAAACGTTCACTGTTCACTATCAGTCATGCAGGTGAGCAATTGCAAACAGACCACTGAATTTTCAAGGCAATTTTGCAAGGCTGCTTTGGTCTCTTTCCCTGTCTACAAAGAGAGCATTCCTGCCTGCACTTGGTATCTCCCTGTTTTCCAGAGCTTAAACGCTGAAAAAAGCAAGACTAAAAAAAGAAATCACGACACTGAACCAGCCGACTTCATACAAACTGTTTCTAAACACCTACTCAGCCAAACCTGCGCAAGAGGGGAGCAAAACACGATCTGCACACTCAGCTGGGTGTTCACCTTTTCCCTGAACACCCAAAAAGCTCTGAACAACCCCTTGGGCTACAGGAGATGGTGTTGGCTTCGCGCATGGATTGATTCCCACTTTATTAGGATGGGCCAACCGAGCAGGAGCGATTCTGGGATCAGAGCCGGGTTTGCAGGGAGCCCCCAGCACAACGGCCTTTCCCAAAGCCCGGGCCCAGGGCAGGAGGGAGCGGCCGGAGCCGCAGCCGTCACACGCCATGTGTCCTCCAGCAGACCCTGTCTGGAGGGAGGGAGGAGGGAGGGCTGGAGCTGCTCGCTCAGGGAAGCCAGATGCGAGGCCTGGCACTGACGCCAGCAGCCGAGCTATTTTTACTAACCAATGGATGCGGTGCCGGAGCAGGAGCAGGAGCTGGAGCTGCTTCTCCTCTCCCAGCTCAGCTCACCATGCTCAGCCAGGCTGGAGTGATCCAGTGAGCCCAGGAGCCCAGCACCCACTGCTGCTGGCCCAGGAGGGAATTCAGGCACCATTCACACAGCACAAGGCTTTTCTGCTCACACCACCTCCAAAAGTGAATTCCCCACCAGAATCCACAGAAAAATCCATTAAATCACTTAGCACAGAGAAGCCGGAATCTTCTGATCCGAATCATTCCCTACTAGCCATGGTGACATCCACTTGCACCCCAAGCCCTTCCCAAGGTCAGCTCCCTCCTCTGACAAACCAACAGCACGCACCAAATCCCCTTTGGAAAAAATGGCAAAACAATCAAAGTTTAACTCAAGGATATTCACATTATTCCATGCACTTTGCTGGTTTTGACCAGGCTTTCAAAGGCTTTGCCGTTTCTGGAAGTTGAATGCCAGGAATACCTGCTGGAATTATCAGAGCAACACCAGCCTTCCTAGTGTTCTCTCCATTTTCTCAGGCTTCCTTCCTGGCTTCCTTCCAGTATTCCCATCTCTAACAGAAGATCCTGTTTTCCTTCATCGTCTGGGTTGTCTCCTCCTCTTCCTTCTCATTGCCACCCACTCGTTTTTTCATCTTTCCCAATATTGTGTTTGCTACATCCTCTCTCCCTGTGCCGTGCAGCAAACCACTCTTCAGAGCCGGGGATGAGATATGCTGCACATCCTCGTGTCCAGGATAATACCCGGGTCT